AGTCTCGTGCCTCAGCCCCGCCCGGGCCTCACCTGCCCCCGCGGGGAGCCGCGCGGCCCCTCGCGCTCTCCATCCCCGCCCGCGCCGTTGCTATGGGAGCCCAGCCGCGCGCGCTCGGCTCCTCTGCTTCCCCCGCCCTCCTCCCCGTGCCGTTACTCCTGGCAACGGCACCCGGCACTGAGACGCGGCACCATTGGTGGGAGGCACAGCACCGGGCGCGCCCATTGGCTGCGGCCGAAGAGAAGGAATGCAAAAAGCCGCGCATGCGCTCCGGCTCCTCTGGCGCTGTCCCGCCCCCCCCCGTGCCCGGCCAGTGGGGGCGGGGCTAGGGGAGCCCATGGGTGCCCCCCCAACTTCCATTTAACACGGGGCATCGCTGTGAATGGCAGCCCCCTGGGCACGGGAGGCACTCAGCTACATGTAGAGCAGCCCTGTGCACCCTCACCCTGTATGGCTCCATTGGAGCAGCCCCCACTGCCCAGCTACAGGGGCTGGGGCTTACCTGCCCTACGGAGTCCAGCTTCCCCTCTCCCGCAGCTGTCTCCCTGCCCCAGCTCCTATGGCCAAGCACTGGTGGCTTTTCCAGCTCAGCTTCTAGGGCCTGGGTAGTGTGGGGTAGCCGCAACCACATCCCTGCAGCCAGCCTCATGGGTTCCAGCTGGGCTCTTATGCCCTGAGCAGGCAGGGCTGCTCCAGCCAAGACTGGGAGGAAGGAGAGGGTATCATTCTGGCACTCCCCCACATTGGTACCCTTCTTACCTCACTGCTCCTAGTTAAGCTACTGCCAGGAGCAGCAAATTTGAGGCAAGGATGCCCCAGGCTAGACCATCTACCCCCTCCCAGAGAGATTCATAGCTGGACCACACAGTAGATTGAAGCACCTCTCGGTGGGGCTAAGGAGTCTCAGCCTCACTGGGGCTTAGGTCCATGCTTTGAAAAGGCATCTCTCTCTTCGTCCCTGCAGAGTCATCTCCCAGCGGGACCTCCTTACATTAAACCACCAGCACAGAGGAGATGCAGCAGAGCTCCTGTTCTGCTCCAGTCGGTGGCAGCCTGTATCTGGGAGCTCAGGTCAGGACTGGCTCATCTTCACCATGATGTCACTATTGCTTAGCCTCCCCTTCTCTCTCAGGTATTTCATTAGGTGAGGTCGTTGCCTCCAAGTTACCTTCACTCCATACTGGTGTTCTGGGGTGTCCTTGACTAGTGATGTTGAGTCAAGGCTTTCCAGTCTGTCAGCACAGACATTGACATCACTACGTGCATACAGCGGGAAGGTATTCACTGGTGACACAGTGCCACTTTGACCAATGCTCCTTACAGATGACAGCTCTGGAGTCTGTATATCTGGTGGACTGAAGATCTCTAGCTCTTGAATAGGAGACTGAGAGGTTCTTTCTTGAAAGCTCTTTGGGTTGCTGGCTTTTGTTGCAGAGCCTGTCTTGGGCTGGGCACGGCATGCCTTTCCAGTAGTTTTGGAATGCCCTGTGCATATACAGGTAGAAGTTCTTAGATTCTCAAAAGTTAGAGAAGGAAATCTGCAAACAGCAGGTTTCTGACCAGCTCCTCTTCCTTGAAGGAATCCATAACTCTTTTCCTGGATCTGGAAGTTTTTTGTCACATGCTTTTGCTTCTTACCTTCCTTGCCCTTGAAGCCTATAAGTAGAGTGGTTTCAAACTGTGGGGACACCTGAAAAGCCAAACAGAGATGGTGAAAAACCATTCTCTCTCAGATGGGATAACCCCTCACACTCCTTAGCTCCTCCACACGGAAACAGCAACACCATTCTCACTGCACTTCCCCTTTCTCTAATGTATCTATCTGTCTTCATTTGAGAGCTGCCATTGCCTCTTCCAGTACATGGTCTAATTTACCGAGATGTCCTCAGCTGCAAACTATGTTCAACACTCAAGACAGTGAGAAAAATCTGGAGGTTCACATAGCCACAAAGTGCAGTTCTACTCTGAAATGCAGTTTTAAATGTGCTATCTTCTCTGAATACACTTAAACGCATCTATTTTAGTGATAGAATAAATCTTTAATTGCTATTGAATCCTCCACAGTTCAAAGAGCAGGTTGGATTCTGTTTCTTCCTGTGTTTACAAACCACCAGTCTTGTTGATACAATCAGGAAGACAAAGCAGCAGCACAGGTGTAACTGACACCAGAATATTAAAAGAAGGCAGGTCACCATGTTAGCCTCAAGGTAGGCAGAAGCCAATCTCTAAGGTACCACCTTGTCCTGTTTTTTGCCAGAATATTGTATGTGAAGGATAAGTATTAAAGAGGCCTAACTGGATTCTTAGACCCCCAGCTGAGGTCATTTCACTGCACAAAGAACACATCTTATTTATAAAAGGGGCATCTATTCTGGAGTAATCGAGACAAAAAACACAGACTCCTTACAGCCATTTTTAGAGAGACTTTTCAAAGAAGACTTGCAATTCAGAGGTCTTTTTTAATAATTAAGCCACATGTTACAGGGGTGAACTCTGATTTTGTATTCTTATATTACTTTAGAAGCCACCAGTCTCTTCCATGCATTAAATTATTGAGCAACAGTTCACAAGCCATGACCTAAGTCAAACAGAAAAAAATGGCAAATACCTATCCCACTGTTTTATTACAGATTTCTAATCAAAACAATTGGAAGATACATAGCTTCTACACACAGGAGAGTGCAGCCCCAGGAAATGTTTAGAACTAGGAGATTCATGCAATTGAGGTTCAAGTGATAAAATGAGGCCTGAGACCTAACTAGGGATTCACTATAAGTAGTCAGGAGAAGTCAGAAGAGAAGTTAGTCCAGTAACTGCAATACTAGTTACCCAGCCATTACTTCTCAGACATCTCCAGATGTACAAATCTTATTGGGATATTTTCCAATGTGTTCCAGATCCACAGTGATTCTATCTCATCTCAGCAAGTGCTTTGCTTACTAATTGAGAAGCCATATAGCTGACTGCCTGCAACATGTCTAAAGTTGATGTGCTCTGAACCTCTCCCCCCGCCCACCCCCCTCAGCAAACAACATAGAGGTGGTCTAGCAAACAACATAGAAATTGACCTCAAATAACTCCAATTTGCATGGCTGGTGGAGTGTTCAAATCTTTACTTGAAACCTCACTCCCTGGGGCTGCTTTGTTAAAAAGCTTTCAGTCCAAAGTAGCAATGCTGTTTAGCAGAGCTGCCCAAGATGATAGCTGCAGCTAAAACCAAGGCAGTTCTCGCAGTACAGCAGCACAACTATTTAAAGCTCTTTGCACAGAATGGCATTGTGCAGGCCGTGCAAATGAGGACTGCAAGACTGAATAAAACAGACAGTGAATTGCCCTCTCAAGTCATGGGAGGGGGACACTGGGAGGAATGCATGGAAAGAAGATTAAAATACAAACAGAGCTGGGGTAAGGGGAAGGGTCAAATGTACCAACCTTCCCTTCCCTTTGAACTACAGCTCATTACAAGGTACAACATCAATTTTAACTCCATGCCACAGACATCAACAATCCCTGGTTTATTACTGTATGAATGACAGCAGAAAAGCAAGCTGTTAAAGTGGACATAAAAAATGCAAGAGAGAACTACAGTTAAGGTGCTGGCTTCATTTTTGTATGCCCCTAAATGAACAGCAGGGATCCTGGTTTTCTCCAATTAAAAAATCCTCAATTTTCAGATTAAAAAAAGGTAACCAAAATCCACATTTTTCCATGATCAAAATGAAACACAACTATATATAATTAGTGGTGTTTCATTTTAATCACGGAAAAATGTGGATTTTGAGTTACTTTTTTTAAATCTGAAAATTGTGGATTTTTTTTTAAAGTCAGAGAAAACCAGGATCCCTGCTGAACAGGCAGGTATTACTTTAGGAGTAGCTTTCAGCCAATCACACTTACAGCACAGTAGCTATTTCAAGTATAAAAAAAAAAATCCATAAAATAAAAATGAAAGAATACTTTATTTTCTGTGCACAGGGTTTTGAATTACTATAAAATCTGTAAAGCAATTTCTCTTTCTGGATCCCAGCATTTAATGTCATTATGACAATGTACATGACAAGGAGTTCCGTTTCATTGCCAGTGGCCCTAAGGTGTCATTCAGTACCCAAAGTGGCAATAAAGCTTGAGCTGCTTGTGACTTACAAGAGTGGGCTTTGGTGCAACTCAGAACTCTACAGCCAGTTAAAGCACAAGGAAATAAAGAAAAAGCACCCATTTATTGGCTCGTGACAATAACCAGTACAGATCTCTCCATTACCTTGTAAAAGAGAAACAAAACAAAACAGTGTATGAAATGAAGGAGCAGGAAACCTGTACTTACCCACTCAGTGGAGGCATTCTGGTCTACAGATCTAGTAGGAACACATCTTGGGTTCTCAGCCAAAGGAAGTGAAGACCCATAATGATGAATAGATCCCTCCCGTGGCCTCTCAAGGAAGAGCAGCTCTGGCTTCTTGGACTTGCGGGTGTGTTTTTTCTTTGGAGGCATCAAAAGGCTTGAGGAAGTCACTTAGAGACTTCATGATGCTTACTGGAGCTAGTCAAGAGAAGAGGAAGACTTCCCAACTACTCTCAGATCTGCAAAGAACAAATAGAGGGAACTGAAGCCACCAAGCAATCTTGAATTTATTTTAAAAGTAATGCTTCTGATTGTGCCCAAGCTCTCTGAAAAGAACAGTTTCTAATGAGGACTGGAATAATAAATACATTGCTCTACAGACACAGAGCCAGGCTGGATACAAATTAATGACTTTTTCAGTTTAAGTTAGAAATGGCAACCTACATTAATCCCCACGTTATTGAAATCCTTTAAAACAAAAGAAAATAGTAACATGGTGCACACTGCCCACCAACACTTTAATGTGAAACCACCAAACTAGGTAGCAAAGTTGGCTGAAGTGTTGCACCAGCTTCTGAGGGGGTTGCCTCTTCTGCAGAGGAGAAGACAGCATCTTTGCTTTGGTCCAACCAGTTCAGTCATTTATTCATTCACGGTTGCCTTCCTTCCCCAACCTACACATAGAAAACGAGGTGGGCACGGCTGAAATCCACCCGTGCCCAGCGTGCGGCCACAGCACCTGGCTGCGGGGCGTTCGGCTGCTGAGGACCAAGTGGCCGTTAATGTCGCCACGCCCCCGGCCCCGCCTTGCTGCCCACTTCCCTCATACCCCTTTTCCCCCAGAGCCAAGCGGGGCTGGGACACACCTGCGTCCCTCTGTGCGGCCCGTTCGGGGCAGCGACCCGCCCCCTCCGCACGTCCTTCTTTTGCGGGAACAAGCCCAAGCACCCCGCGTGGGCCAGCCCGCGAAAGCCTCCAGCGCCAGCCAGCCCGGGCCCTACCAACCCTATCGGGGGTCCTGCCCCCCAGTCCCGGAGCAGTAACGGTTAGTCGAGCCCTTCCCCCGCGCCACCTGCCTCCGCGTCTGCACCCCCTCCCATCTGCGCCGAGCCGCCGCGAGCGCTGATTGGCCGCACCCGCGCCCCTGATAGAACGCTCGGGCGCCCTCCCATTGGCCGCGGCCGGCACGTGACGCCAACGAGCCGCCGGGCGCCAAATTCAAACGGGGACACGAACGGCGGCGCTGGGGGTAGCGCTCGAGCCCGGAAGCGGCTGTGGACCCCCCTCCCCCCCACCCGGCTCCGCGGGGGAGGGGCCTGGCCCAGCCCATGGCGAGCGCCGG